ATCAGCGATGATCTGCCAGTTTTTTTCCCAAAGAGTTCGCAAACTCAATTTCATCAACACCTGCCGAACTTCTTTCATCTTTCTCAACTGTCCGTCCACAAAGTTTGATCAAGAGATATAACCGAAAACATAATCCCGGCAAAGTGAAAGGGGGATGCCTCTTTTTTCAGCCAAAAGTTGGTCACCAAAGGCAATCAATCAAAATCGACCACGGGCAGAAAATTTGATTGGCCGCCCGCGCAATTAGGACCGCGGGTCGTCGCATTCAATCTGCGGATTGTTCCGAGTAAAACAAAAAAAAATAGAGACAAACAGACAGATGCCTATCGACCGGCGGCCTATTCTGTCTCGCGCGGAACCTGTGGAATTGGTAACAGGTGTCTGACCGCGTTCAAGCTCCGGCGAAAAGCAGAGCACGTTCCGCGAGTTAATAAGTTCATTAAGCCGCGCACGGTCTTCTCTAAACTCTGTTTGTCGAATTTAATCAACAAGTCTTTTGCAAAATTTAATGGTTCAATATTATTTTAGGAACATTGTTGAATCAATTTTTAGCAAGAGTGTTGATAAAATTTTGAAAAAAAAAGGGAAATTTCTACTCTATTATTTTTACGAGTTCGATTGATAGGACTCAATACATATATTTTAAATTTTGACAGTTTGGAAATTGTTCAGATTATGTTTAAAAGCGTTCAACTTTCTACTTTTAATTGCAATACAAAAAATAAAATTAAAAATGGAAAAAAATTACATTTTGACAAATTAATTTTGTTATGAATTATTTACTTATTATTTTTTTGTAGAAGTAAACGAATTAACAAAAGTGATTCAATTTTCTATTTGCATAATTTTAGGTGAAACTTATTCGTAAAAATGTTGCAGTTCATTCATTTGAAAGCCCTTTGCCTTTAACAGTACATTGATGAAATTAATATATTTATTTAATTTTTTTGCGTTATATTGCTGATGTTTATTTTTGTAAATTATTACAACAAGCAATTTATAACATGGGATGGAGCCTGTTTTTCTTTAGAATATTTTATGAGCTATTGAAAAAATTGCTTACCGTAAAATTTTACAAATGTTATAAATGCAAATAGCAACTTTTTAGACAAAAAAATATCACATTTTAGACTGAATAAACATACATTTCCTAGAAAAAAAGTGACTTTTGATATGAAAAAGGAGATTTCATGCATAAAAACTAGTAATTTGGACACTTTCCTATAGTTTTAAATAAATTAACTAGTTTCTAACAAATAAAAAATATTAAATTAATGAATTTTTGTTTTCTTTGCTTTCTTTCAACTCATCAACAGTTCGAGCATGTTTTTTTTTATAAACGAAGGTATTACATTTTTCTAAAGCTCTTGAAAGTTGACAAGTCGCTGCCGACTTGTTGACTATTGATCAACTCGGTGACAAGCGCGAGCAATCAGCCCTCGCCGGAATGAAGAAGAAGTGCAATTTTTCTATCGGTGCTGCAGTCGCTGGCAATTAATTTTTCCTTGAAAGCGGTCAGCGTTTCTAATAATTGACTCGCAGTCGTTTTTCACTCGCAGGTTTGTGTGCCGCTTTTAATTAACTCGGCTGAGCCGCCAGGAGATTACTTAAAAAAGCTGAAAGAAGGCGAGCTTGGCGCGCACGAGGGGAATAAAAAACAGAAAATCCGTCGCGCGTTTAAGCGTTTGCTTTGAAGTTGACTTCAATTGAGGCTGGCGAACAATGGCGCAAGTACTACTTGGAGCGTTCTATTTTCGCCCCCGCGCTAAAAAGAAAAAAACGCACACCGCTGCGAGCTGCTTTCGGCACGGCGACTCTCGCCGTCGCCGAATCGTGAAAAGGTTCATCGATCTTCCACCTCAGCAAATAATGAGTGCGTTTTTCAACCGATATTGAACCGGAATTACATTGAAATCGTATTGAATTCTTTTTCACTTCTTTTGGTGCGAATTTTGAAACATAGAGGAAAGAAATTATTAAAAGTATTGACGTTTGTCCATTTTTCGAATCCTTGAAATTTATTTGGGTGTAAAATATTGTCTTAAAAATAACAATTGTCCGTGTATAGTTTAAAAATTATAAGTCCTGAGCAGGTATGCTTGTTTATCAGTGGAAATTTAAAAAATTAAACATGAAATCTCATAAAATAATATCAATTCCACAATCTTTCTTGGGAATTTTTCTCTTCTATAAACTTATAAATGTAATAAAGTTTTCTACTAGCCTTAATTGCAATCTTAATAAGTTTTTAAAATTATATATAGCAACAATTTTTTCTATCAGTTCCATCAGTTTCGTGTTTTTGGTCGTATATTTCCCGGGAAAACCACTGGTTGAAATCGCACACAGCTAAATTTTCTTATAAACATGAGCAAAACAAGCAAATTCATTATCAGATTCTGACGCAAACAAAATTTTGCGCGGTTGGAAACAGCGATCAAAAATAATTTAACCGAAAAAAAAACGCAAAAAAAAACTAATGGCTGTCTATGCAATGCATAAAAAACACCAAAACGTAAATGCATTACACACCAAAAGATAAAAACGCAAAAAAGGCCCCGATACACAATAAAACACTTCTTGAGGCAGCACAAAAACACAGTAACACGAGCACTAAAAGTGGACTAAAAATGAAGCCAAAGCAGCTATAAGAATCACACCCACTAACAGCCATAATTAACCATACATGTGGATACGGACGGAAAGAATTGCGAATAATTTACTATTTAAAACTAGAAATTTAATTCACAAAAACGCACTAATAAACAATTGAAACACATTTTAAGGAGCACAAAGCAAAAAAACACTGTAACTCAACAATTAAAAGTCCAATTTTTCACAAAAATTTCAACCTTGGTGGTAAAAAGTTTGCAACAAAAATAAGGAAAATATTTTACTTTTAAAACTTTTCCTTCCCGTCTCGAGTGGTCTCTCATCTTTGGCGACGTAGCAAACACTTAAGAGCAAATTTGATTTCGGCCTGGAGACACACATTCGGGGAGCAGCTGCCTGCGAGTAGTGCCGATCAAAAGCAATAAACCTCTCGTAATTATATTTATATCTGCTCCTCCGACGGCTTAAAAAGTGAGCGCGCGACTTTCACGCTCGGCAGCCGCTTTTCATTAAAACTAAGAGAAGCAGAAAATTCGAGCCGCGTCTAATTAAAAATGGTGCTCTTGAAAAACGCGCCGTTTTCCTCAAGTTTTGCGAATCTCTAAGGAAATTCAAATTTACCGTTCTTCCTAAAAAATTTGAATTTGCAAAAATCTTCTTGATTAACTAATTGTGACAAGGGCCCTTTGTAAATTATATCATTTTGATTTAAAATATTAATTTATTTATTCAGATTTTTTCACGTTTTGACTCGTTTGTAAATTTTTTTTAGAAGCACTACCGGATTATTTGGCATATTTTCAATAATATAAAAGAATATTTACTGAAGTTCTTCCTTTGAAACAAATGATTAAGTTTAATTTTACTTCACTTATTTATTTTTTGAAAGACTGTTTTGGGATATTTCTCTGCAAAGGCCTTTTCCAACTAAAATTTTGGTCATTTTCCCAAGAAAAACAGGGTTTTAGTCTGGTTATAAAACAACATTGACGCGAATAATCCGTTCTCTACTTTATTTGCTCAGCAGCTCACACTCTGCTGGTTGCCCAATTTGCTCTCAGCCGTTCGTTCGGTTCAGCTGCCCAGCAGAGTCGGGGTCATTAACCAGCAGGGAGCTCCATCACTTTTGCGCATCAGGTGGAAAATGCGTTCAAAAAAAATGAACAACTTGAAGCACTTTTTGCCGGAAAACAAGGAAATGTTTGTTTTCAATTCGGTACGCACAATAAACACGCTTATTTGAATTTCCGAGATGTTTTGATTTGAGTGCCTATTGTGTGCATAAAACAATAATTTACCCTCCTGAGGCAGAACCTGTGACGTCTGAAATTCAAACTTCAACCCCGATTGTATTTTTCCCTCGAGCAATATTTTTTTTTTTAAATAATTTCAGTGTTTCAAGATTCGTTTCGAGAACTCAAAATCTTGATTCAAAAGTTAAGATTTTTTAGTTTCAAAAAATTTCTTTATCCGGCTAAAATTTACTTTCTAAGTGATTTGGATGAGATGATGCAATTTACAAACACTTTTTTGACACTTTTGATCCAGTAATTTGTTTCTTTTGGCCAATTTTTTGTAATCAACAATTCTCTTTTTTTAAATAGTTAATTTTAAAGAACTATTTTCATATTAAAATTTAAATTATTCAGGTAAAAAATTGCAAGAATTCGCAAATTCCAGGTCTGTTGTTATTTGATTTACTTTCATGCTGGTTTTAAGCGTCAAATAAAAACCAATTTGTTAAATAAAATTGAAATTTCTCATATCAATTCCTCCCTTAATTTCACTAATTATAAGTGCAATTGTAAACGCAATAAAAACACAGTTGAATTTAGTTGATATTTCAGATTTCACGGTGGTCAAAATCAATTACTTTTCAAGGAAATCTGGTTTAATTAAAAACATGAAAATCTTTAAATTTAAAAAAAAAAACATTTTAACAGCTCTTGAGATTTAGCACGGCCGGTGCCATTAGCAAAACAATTGTTATTTTTTACATCCTCTACAAATATGAGACACTTTGGCTTTGAATGGTTGATTTCATGGAAATTGAAACCTTCATACTTAGCTAATTTTAATGAATTTTAACTTAAATTTAGTAGTTCCCCAATGACCAAACAAAAGACCAGTTAAAATTCAAAATATTTTCTAACAAAAATGAAAATCAAATGCAGGAAATAATATTTAAAAGTTAAAAGAAATTTATCCTGGAACAGTCCGAAAAAAAAATTAAATAAAAAAAAGCGACGAAATTGCTTTATTTTAGACTTAAAATAGAATAAAAAAATTTTACTCACGATTCTAAGCAAACTCGTAATGGATGTTTGAAATGATTTTATAGAAAATTAAAACAAGGAAGACGTGGAAAATAAAAGAGAGTGATTTACCGCGAGTGGCGAGGCGGTGGTCGCGCTGAAGAAGGGTGGTTTGCAGAGCGGAGGCTGCTGCCCTGGCGGCGGCTGGGAAAGCAGTCAGTCGAGGGGTCGGCCGCTCTCCTCAGGCCGCCGCGAGCAGGGACGCGTGCGCGCAGCCCTGAGTCGGCCCGGCCTGCCTCGCTCTGGCTGCTGCCCTTGTAAATGGACCACAATCGATTGTAAGCAACTGGTTGCCACTGGCGCGGTGCAGCCGCCTGCCTCCCCCTGCCTGCCACTTTTCCTTCGCCCCCTGTCGAATATGTGCACATTATTATTATTGTCATTGTTCGAAACGCACGCCATTTCCATTCGATCGAATCACTCGATAAGCCGCCTCTGTCAGCATTTTTTTGCTGCCGCCAAATCAAATTTTCTCATTTCCGGAGCAAAATAAATGAGTGAATTGCAGACTTATCTAGAAGTTATTTCTGAACGATTTTTAAAGGAAAATGTTATGTATTTGATCTGAAATTGAACCAATGGGAATTTAGTTTCATGAATTCAAATAAATTTTTAGTCAATTGGCAATTTTTTGCTGATGATTCAAGACGTTGAATATCATCAAGTGAATAAAAATGCATGCAAAAATGATTAAAAGACCAATTTTTTGATAAAATATTCCAGTATTAAGATTTTATTTCTGCAAATTTACTGTTTGTTATTATATTTTTACAAGTTTAAAGAAAATTTTAATTACAAATATTATACAAAAATTGAAATTCGATGTCAAGTCTCAGTTTTAACAAATTCAATGATTTTTAATAATTATGCTTTTACATTAATTCTCACTTTTGAAGTTCATTTGAAAATTTAACTGGAAATTAACTTTTTTCTAAAAAGATTCCAACCATTGAAACAGAGCAAATTAATTGAAGTATCTATTTCAAAGTACCACTTTTTACCACTTCAATTTTGAATTTTCAAATATCCCAAAACCGCCTCTATTGATAGCAGTTCACAAATTTTCGTGAATTTTCAAGAATATCCCATTTTGACAGCAAATTTAACTCCGATTAGTTTAATTCTGAATTATGAAATAAAAATTAAATAAGAAATTAACAAAAAATCCCTTCAATATTTTATTTTTCATTAAAATGATTGCCAAAATTAATTATATTTTGCACAGCAAAGACCTTAAAAATGTGAAAACGACCAAGAAATTAATTAAATTTGAAATAAATTTCGCAAATTTATTTAATTTTTAAATCAATGCAATACAAATTGAGTCTAGACGTTTGCTACATTGTCAGGCTTATTGAGACGCATTCACCGTATTCAATCTGCCCGAACGAACGTGCATGGAAATGAGCTCGCGGTAAGTGAGATTTACAGTATTGGAAAACAATCATTCGCGAGAGCTCGACGGCAAAACATTTGTGCCGAGGGAAAACGAATTCCGCTGGGAATCGCAATTTGTCCTTTTTCAATCGTGCGAGGGCGGACTTTTCTACTTCTGTCCGTGGGCAGTGCGTCATTCGTGCCAACGTCGTCCGCAAGATGAGAGGAGATATTTTTGGAGATGCGACGTGTAAATGTGAAAACATAAGAATCATTTTCGATGAATCTATTTTTGTGCGCAAATCCCTCTTGACGCAAACACAAGAACTTTTCCTTCTTTTTGATTGGTTTCGGTCGCGGTTTCAGGCGATTACCTTCCTAAAATTAGCCACAACTTGTGACGCTTTCGGGGAAGCGAAAGTCAAATTTCAAGGAACATGTCAACAAATTTTTGGAAGACGAACTACTACTTTTTTAATTGAAGAACCTTGAGTCTTGAGACTCCATACATATTTGGAACTAAATTTGCAACACTTTGAAATTTTGATAAAATTGCATTGTGAATGGAATTAAATTTTGAAGAGGGGCAAAAAACTTGATTCAAAATATTTTGGACTGGAAAATAATTTAGCTTGCAAAATTTAAAACATTGGAAAAATATTGTTGCAATTTAGCTAAAAATCATTGTATTAGAAAAGAAATTTATGATTATTTTTCACTCTCTTTTGTCTTAAATTAGCATTGGGGGAGATTCAATAGACTTAGCTCTCCCGGGATAAAAGATATCCCGGGATAAACCCAAAGGGATAAAATTTAATCCACCGTCCCGGGTTAAATATTTTTTATCCCGCCTTCAATTTTTTGTCCCCAAATCAATGGGGATAACTTTTCTTAGCTCCCTCAACGGGACGAACATTTGACCAAAGAGTTGGATCCAATTGGATCCAACAATTTTTCACCGATCAAAGAGTTGGATCCAATTGGATCCAACAGTTTTGCACCGATCAAAGAGTTGGATCCAATTGGATCCAACAGTTTTTCACCAATCCAAGAGTTGGATCCAATTGGATCCAACAGTTTTTCACCAATCCAAGAAGTGGATCCAATTGGATCCAACAGTTTTTCACCAATCCAAGAGTTGGATCCAATTGGATCCAACAGTTTTTCACCAATCCAAGAGTTGGATCCAATTGGATCCAACAGTTTTTCACCGACCAAAGAGTTGGATCCAATTGGATCCAACAATTTTTCACCGATCAAAGAGTTGGATCCAATTGGATCCAACAGTTTTTCACCGACCAAAGAGTTGGATCCAATTGGATCCAACAATTTTTCACCGACCAAAGAGTTGGATCCAATTGGATCCAACAATTTTTCACCGATCAAAGAGTTGGATCCAATTGGATCCAACAGTTTTTCACTGACCAAAGAGTTGGATCCAATTGGATCCAACAGTTTTTCACCAATCCAAGAGTTGGATCCAATTGGATCCAACAGTTTTGCACCGATCAAAGAGTTGGATCCAATTGGATCCAACAATTTTTCACCGATCAAAGAGTTGGATCCAATTGGATCCAACAGTTTTGCACCGATCAAAGAGTTGGATCCAATTGGATCCAACAGTTTTTCACCAATCCAAGAGTTGGATCCAATTGGATCCAACAGTTTTTCACCAATCCAAGAGTTGGATCCAATTGGATCCAACAGTTTTTCACCAATCCAAGAGTTGGATCCAATTGGATCCAACAGTTTTTCACCAATCCAAGAGTTGGATCCAATTGGATCCAACAGTTTTGCACCGATCAAAGAGTTGGATCCAATTGGATCCAACAATTTTTCACCGACCAAAGAGTTGGATCCAATTGGATCCAACAATTTTTCACCGATCAAAGAGTTGGATCCAATTGGATCCAACAATTTTTCACCGATCAAAGAGTTGGATCCAATTGGATCCAACAGTTTTTCACCGACCAAAGAGTTGGATCCAATTGGATCCAACAGTTTTTCACCAATCCAAGAGTTGGATCCAATTGGATCCAACAGTTTTTCACCAATCCAAGAGTTGGATCCAATTGGATCCAACAGTTTTTCACCGACCAAAGAGTTGGATCCAATTGGATCCAACAATTTTTCACCGACCAAAGAGTTGGATCCAATTGGATCCAACAATTTTTCACCGATCAAAGAGTTGGATCCAATTGGATCCAACAGTTTTTCACCAATCCAAGAGTTGGATCCAATTGGATCCAACAGTTTTGCACCGATCAAAGAGTTGGATCCAATTGGATCCAACAATTTTTCACCGATCAAAGAGTTGGATCCAATTGGATCCAACAGTTTTGCACCGATCAAAGAGTTGGATCCAATTGGATCCAACAGTTTTTCACCAATCCAAGAGTTGGATCCAATTGGATCCAACAGTTTTTCACCAATCCAAGAGTTGGATCCAATTGGATCCAACAGTTTTTCACCAATCCAAGAGTTGGATCCAATTGGATCCAACAGTTTTGCACCGATCAAAGAGTTGGATCCAATTGGATCCAACAATTTTTCACCGACCAAAGAGTTGGATCCAATTGGATCCAACAATTTTTCACCGATCAAAGAGTTGGATCCAATTGGATCCAACAATTTTTCACCGACCAAAGAGTTGGATCCAATTGGATCCAACAGTTTTTCACCAATCCAAGAGTTGGATCCAATTGGATCCAACAGTTTTGCACCGATCAAAGAGTTGGATCCAATTGGATCCAACAATTTTTCACCGATCAAAGAGTTGGATCCAATTGGATCCAACAGTTTTGCACCGATCAAAGAGTTGGATCCAATTGGATCCAACAGTTTTTCACCCATCCAAGAGTTGGATCCAATTGGATCCAACAGTTTTTCACCAATCCAAGAGTTGGATCCAATTGGATCCAACAGTTTTTCACCAATCCAAGAGTTGGATCCAATTGGATCCAACAGTTTTTCACCAATCCAAGAGTTGGATCCAATTGGATCCAACAGTTTTGCACCGATCAAAGAGTTGGATCCAACAGTGTTAGCTTTGGATTTAAATTTTGCCCTCACTTCCATATGATCCTCACAAAATTCTGATTTGAAAAAGATTTTTGTTCGTTGCAATTGGCCAAAATTTAAAAAGTTCGCGAGCATGTTGAGAATCTTTTAATAACCAGCTGATCTGATTTTAGCTGGGGTCAAATGTTTGTCCCGTTGAGGGGGCTAAGAAAAGTTATCCCCATTGAGTTGGGGACAAAAAATTGAAGGCGGGATAAAAAATATTTAACCCGGGACAGTGGTTTAAATTTTATCCCTTTGGATTCATCCCGGGATATATTTCATCCCGGGAGAGCTAAGTCGATTGAATCATCCCGTTAAAAATTTAATAGTTGTTTGAAAAGTCTAGAAGATGTTTATTAGTTCACAATTACTGGAAATTATATCTGGTTTTACTTCTATTCATCTTGTAAATTTCCAATAAAAATATGTTTTTACATTATTTTTGCATATTAAAATACCTCACCTGTACTTAACCTTTAAATCAGACTTTTTTTATATTTTTAATGTCAAGCGCACAGCAAAATTCTGCCTGCGTGTAGAGGTTTTTCCATTAAAATTTCATGTTATTAGATTCACAATATTTCCTTAACTAAGTAATTTTCCAACTTTCAAGGTATGCCTTTGAGGTGAAACACCCCGATTTTGATGAAAGCTGGTATGCAACTTGCACTACCCTTGGGTGTTCTGGAGTGCGTATATCAAAAGTTGAGCTGAATTTCGCAGGCGATGGTATATTCAAACGATGTTAAGTAGTCAACACAAGCGTCCATCCTCCGGTTGCCTTTTCAATTTCCCCCATGGAATTTAAATGACATGGAAAATATTTAACGAGGAAAATTCTGTAAATCGTTTCGGTGATTCTGGAAGTGTTTCGCACCAATTTTCATCAAAATGAAGATTTTTCAGTCTCAAAAACTTGCTTTGTTATTGAAAAATTTCAGGAGAAATTCTTAGAAAAAATGCCTAATTGGCAATATTGTGCCCGCTTTTAGCTTTCAGAAGAAAAATTCAGTTTGGATCTGATATTTGTTAAGAATATTTTTATTTATTTGTTGATTTTCAAAATCGTTTTCCTCTAATGAAAATTACATCATTTTACTTTTTACCAATCCTGTTCAAAAACTATGAACAGCAGCTTTGGAGAGATTCTTGGTACGTGAGCGCCGTGTGGCGACGGAACGCAGCCTGCGCGACTCCCTCGTCGAGCGGGTTGCATAAGAGGGTCCTTTGCTGATCGATTCGCTCGCAGCGTACAAAAGCACTCCACCTTCCTCACGCATCGATCGCCTGCTTAATGATTTCCCCGGAAAATTTGCCTCCCTCGAATTGCCGCCTAACGAATTAGCGGTTTTTCTTGCGCCAGCCGGAGTTCGCGACTTTCCTTCCGAGAAAGCCGTTAATTTGCAAATGCCGGGAAAATGCGTTGTAAATATATAATTTGGGCTGGAAATGCGAAAATCGTGTTAGACTTTTGGCGCGGCGAGAATTGTGCAGCAAATATGGCAACGCACCTGTTGCACTTGCGCGCCCAGCGAAATTCGTTTTGTGCCGGGGCTCGTCGCGCGCGCTAAACAAACAAACACACTGACTGTGCTGGTTATTTCCGTCTGATTAACCAGTGCACGCACCCGTGTGTTATTTCCTACCAGAAAGCATTGATTATGGCAAACGGAAAAATCTGCTTTTGCCATGAGCAAATTCTATCCTTGAAAGTTTGAAAACAACATTTTACTGATGATTCCATGCCTAACCTTTTCTTGGGTAATAATTTATTGAATTAATCTATTTATAAACTATTCACAAAAATCTCTTCTTGTTTCATTTAACTTTTGAATTTACTTAGAGTGTGTCTTAGATTTCAAAAAATTTGTTAAAGATAAAAAATTTTATGATCATGACAACATTGCACTATTGTTAATGATATTTATTTAGCGCAAACAGATATTTTTCACTCGGTTGATACAAACCTGCAAAAATAGGAGGTTGGTTAAGAAAGAGCGACGTGAATTTACCTAATAAAAACTAGATTAATAATATATTTTTTAATGAATAAAGTTTCTTAAACAAATTCTTGATCTTTTTATCCCTTAAATTATGCAAGTATATCAAATTTCTATCGAACTCCATCAAAAAAGACCCGTTTCGGACTTCCAAGAAAAACTTTCAATTCGCAATTAAAGTTTGCATGAAAAAAGCTATCCACTTAAATTAACAGATTCCAGTCAACAACGGCTTTTTGTCAATTTATGCAAAAAAATTTTGAACTAGGACCAAAGAAATTAGTAATCAAATGCCATTTTCCCATAATTTAGCCCCATTAAAATTTCTAAAAAAACACAGTTTCAATTGAAAGATGGACCATTGGACTAGCAAGTGAAATTATTATTGAAATTTCTAATTTTTTCATTTCCTCAAATAAAAAGCGAAACTCATTTGATGATTTTACGGACCGTTTTTTAGATAGATGGTCCAAAACTTGATTAAATTCCATTTCTGTTGAAATTTTGGTTTAACACAAATGGAAGAAAAAAATATAGAATTTTTCAAAAAGAAACTGGACTTAATGATAAGAAAAATATATAATCAGCTTCAGTGACCAGAGAAATATAGGGCTGCAGAGAAACCTCTCGAACTCCTTCCGATGTGTCTGCCCAACTCTTATATTAGGAGAGTAGAAAGTGGCTCGGAAATGGGAAGTAAATAAGAGACCTTAACTTTTCCCTCCGAGCCGGGAAATAAATCCGGCGCGACGAAGCATTGTGTGTGTTTTTCTGCCCGCGGCCATTGTGTATTAGAGAGCATTGTGATATACACAAGTCTCGCTCCAACTTCCCTCTGGGCTGCGGAAACTGCCGTGAAAAGGTCCCGGGACACGCGTTATCATTTACGCTTTTATCTCGCGCGCTTATCTCTTCCCTGCTTGGCGAACTCCGAGAGAGGAAAGATGTAGAGAGACTCCCTGTTTCCACGTTGAGTTTACAAACAAAATTACGATTAAATGTTTTGATAAAACAGCAATTTCTTAGAAAAAAGTCTCTGAAATTGGTATATTTTTTACATATTTCTGGACACAGATTTTAAACATAAAATTAGAAAATTTAAATAATGAAAATGTGATTTTATTAAATCAACTCTCACTTTTTAAAACTTAATTGTGTTGATTAAAACAGCAGCAACAAATTCAAAAGTGCGAAAATATTTTAAATTTAGAACTTCGAATTGAAATAAAATAAAGTGGTGGGAAAATGTTGTTAAAAACAAGCATGGGTACGAATAAAAATATAATTGGCATAATTATTAATTATCAATAAACTGTGAAATTAAATTTTATAAAAATTTTTATTGCCAAGTAATGAAGAAAATAGTTTCAATTATTTAATAATAATAATTTCAGCTTGGAATTATTTTATATGAATAAGTAAGCCGATAATTAAATTATAAATATTTATATTGAAATAAAAATTTTGAAAGAAAACTGTCTTGTGCGGGCCATGTTTGTTTTTTTTCATCCGAGCACATCCCTGCGAACTCTAGCGGTCCTGGTACCAACGATACACCCTCACTCGGCAAAAGCAGATCAATAATTCAAGTCTGCGACGCACATTATGCCCAAAAATCCAAAATGAAATTCCGAAGGGAACAAAATGTATGAAAAATTCATATATAATGTTGAATATATCTTATTACAACAAAATTGAATCAAATCAAGAGAGGAGCAAATAAAAGGAGAAAAATAAGGGATGTTTGGAAAGAGGGCGCGTGCGCCCCTGACAGGGACAAGAGGGTTCTGACGGAGGGGGCGTCTCTTGCCAAAATGGGTCTCGAGCAATCCATCTGACGAAAGAAACTGGTCCTGAAAAGAAGATGCTACTCATCTGCCTACTTGTGTACCTGTTCAACTTACACGCCACCTCAGGTAACATTAAAAACAGATTTCGTTTCTTAAAGTGAGAACCTTCGACCAAGAAATTTAGCCCGTGTCAAAATTGTTTACTTCCGAAAATGTTGAAATTTATAGTTTTTTACTTATGATAATAATTATTTTAAATTTATAATATTTAAGGTCATTTTCGCTGTGCTAAATTTGGCCATTTGTTTAATTAATTATAAAAAATTATTCATGAAAATCCGTTGAACTTTGGATCAGCTGACATTTCCATCAAAAACACCTAAAAAACAAGGAAACAAATGATTTAATTAGAACTTAACATTTGAAAAAAAAACGTTCTTTTTTATTTAAAAATTTTAAACTGTGAAGGTTCAAGTTTATGCATTTTTAAATTATTTTATCAACAATTAAACAGAAAATCAAATTGCAATTTTGAGAAAGCAGCACAATAATTTTCCAATGTCTTTTCTCTGTTATGAACGTTTTATAATTGCAAAATCCGTTGCAGGTCAATTGCTGGGCAGAGAGCACAAGACGTACGCCGCCTCCGAAAGGGCGAACAACCTGACCTGCTTCAGCTGTGGCACCATGGAGGATGGTGAAAATTGTGCCAATCTGCCGCCCAACTCTTCGTACGTCTCGCAAAACTTTGTGCGAAAGTGTCCCGACGAGATGCGAATTTGCATTGTAAGTCAATAAATATAATACAAATCGTTGAAAAATTATAAAGGAGCGAAAGAATTTAATTCTATGACTTTTTTTTATAAAATTTTCCAAAATGAAAAAAAATCAATGAAATAACCCTTATGGAATAATAATAAATTTTAAATTAGATTATTAAAACACATACTTAATTGGTAAATTCAGTTTAATCAGCTAAAATTGGAATTTTTTTCTTTTTATTTAATGATTACTAGCCGTGCTTATTATTATTTTTCAAGCTTGTTAAATTTTTACTAATTTGTTCTTCATTGTCCATGCATTTTTTTACAAAAACTTTGCCCATACCACGCAATAAAAAATTAACTTCGTTCAAAAATAAAAATAAATGAATAAAAATAAATTTTGATTGGGCTGATAAAAGAAATTGTCAACTTTCTGTTCTGATTTTTTTCAATATCAATTTAATATTTTGCCAGGAATTGTATTCATAATAAATATTTCTCCCTAAATTTGTAATTTATCTATTGGCTTAAAAATGTATTTTTTATTTACTTTAAACTTGTAAAAATACAAGATAGAAAAAACACTTGTCGATCATCTTCTCTCTAATTAATTTTTGCAATCTTTCTTGTTTTACGTTTCTTTTAACAATTTTAATTTTAATTTACTCGTTGATTGTTATCTGCTTTTCTCAGGTGAAGCGAATTTCGTACACAACAAGCACGGAAAACTCGATCGCGGACCCAAAAATGTGGTCGTTGGAGCGCAACTGCTCGAGCCGCTGCGAGCCGGGTTGCATCGTGATAGGCGAGCGCACCAAGTTGTACGCGTGCACCCATTGTTGCGACACGCCCATGTGCAACGTCGGCAAGGCCACGGCCTGTCGGCGGCCGGCGGCCAACCTGCTGCTGCTCATGCTGGCCGCCCTGTCTCGCCTCCCCGTCTAAACTGCAAAAGTGAGCCAGAGAAATGAAAAAGATAAAAAAAAACTGCGCACAGAAAAATATGAAACGACCGACAGTGTTTCGACCTCGACTTCAAAAAGTCCCCCCGTCAAAAATCCCCACACAATCAAAAGCAGTTCAACGTTTATATTTGTATATTTGTCCGACGAAATCGACTTTTGTTAAAATGGAAATTATTGAAATGGAATTTAATAAATCCGAATTATTATGTGAATTAAAATATAAATATCACCTGTTAGTATTCGACATGATTTATAATAAACTACTTAATTAAACTGAAAAATATTACCAAAGTGCATTTTTATTATATTAAAAGAGAGCAAAAATGAGAAGAAATTGACCTGAAATGCTGGGCACAAATTTGATTTGATTTAAAATTACTTTTCAATAATGGCAGGTCTGATTTTGTATAAATCAGACGACGTCAAAGATGCCAAAATGAATAATTTGGAGTAAAAAAAACCGTTAAATTGTAGTAAATTTTTTTCAAGAAATAATTCAATTTTGACCATTTTTTGACCATCAAAAGAGCGAATCAAAATTAAAAACCTTAACGAATTTGACCAAAATTTCAATTTCCTTTTTTTTCAGTTTCGTTGTTTTGATGGTGCAGAAGATATTTTATTGATTAAAATTTTTGGCCCAAATTTAATTGAAAAAATAATCAATTTTGATCCTTATGCAATGACGGCAAACAAAGAAAAGTTAGGATATTTAAATTTGTGGTTGGTTTGCATAATTTTTGGTGTTTACTTTCTTATATGTAAAATATGTTCAAAACTAATTAAAATTCCAAACAATTTGTACAATTTATTTGTAAATTATATTCAAAATTAATTTAATTCATAAAAACTACAAAATATCTGTGATTTTTATCATTTTAAACGCTTGATTTAAAACTAATCAAAAAGATAACAATAATTACATGGAAAATCAGATTAAATATATATATTTTTTTCTTCTGATGAAATTAATCGATGAAACTTCTTAGAAGAATGAGCAATCGCCATTAATTTATTAGAACCTTTGATTGGACTTAATTAGCTGCTGATTGAGTCTCTCGTGCGCAATTAAATCTCGACGAATGCGCAAATTGAATAAATAAACAGCGCGTTTATTTCTTGATCGGCGAAGTTTAGCCGCGAGTGTTGATTTTATTATATCGCTTCTCGGACGAGTGCCGCTTCCACGAATCCACCACGATGAAAAAAAAAACGGGCATCGTTTTACTCGGCGAGAGAGCAGATGACCCTTTTTGATGCGAGGGCTCTTTGTCTTTCTCTCGTCAGAATCGATTTTTTTTCTTTAATGACGACGAGACGTGGAAGAAGAAAAAAAAATTATCTCTCGCGCCACAGTTGAGCAATTGAATTCGAGAAGATTTCCGTTTTATCTCTGCATTGGGATCTTTATGGGCAGCTTTCAGCACTTCTCGCGGATGGGCGGCGAAAAAATAGCGAGAACATAATTTCTCACTCACGGGCAATAAAATTGTCGATTTTCCTGGTAAGAGCCAAAGATAAATTTATTCTAACGAGGAAAGCGCTCTTCCCGTGCGCACCTGCGTACTTTTTTTCTCGCGCGCAAGTGTTCCAATCAATTATGGGGAAAACATTTTTGCATGAGTTTCGAGAAAAATTGAATTTATTATTTTTCAAGGCAATCTGCCTTATTGATGTAAATAAATGTTAAAAATACTTTTTCCTTGCAAGTATTTCCACATTTTTGCTTACAAATAACTAATTATTTTTTACTTCGCATAATTTTTATCGGAAATAATTTATCCAAAATCCAAATCCCTGATGAAAATTTTAGTAGCGTTTTTTTTTTGCATTTTTATTTTTGAAAACGTTTTTGTGACTGAAAAAATTTTCTAGGTAATTTATTGTTGAAGTTGCAGGGACACTCTAATTTTTTTTGTAATAATATAATTTCATTTTGCATTTTTTTTTATAATTGCAGAGGAAATAAATTTTTAACTTTGATAATAACTTCAATTCATTTTATTTTCCTCCAACAAGTCTGAACAATTAATTGTAGAAAATATTTGTTGGGAGAAATTTTTGCTTGTACATTTTTTTTTTTACTTTTTATACATGATGAGCATTTGAAAATTTTATATTTTAGTTTTAAGAATAGAAGAAGATAAATTACAAGGATAATTAATTAGTTTGTTCCACGCATGATTTTAACTCATGAAATGGGCTAGGATTATGTTATGGGACTAAATTTCAAACATATTTATTTAGTGCACAAATTTTCATTCCAATTTTTATCGTTATTTAGTTGCAAGTTGTGTTTAATTTACATCATCATAAATTTAAGGCCATTTTATAAGACTTTTCAATGCTAAATCAATTTTTCTTTTGTATAAATTGCTGAATTAATGATAAAAACTACCTTATATTACAACAATTTTTGAATCCAGCAATTTTTTCTAATTTACAATAAAATCAGTAAATAATACTGTGTAGTGTGTTTCAAGGTCACTTAAGAAAACTTTTTCAATGCTTAATCAATCGCTTTAAATTTTTTAAATTAATCACATCACTTTCCAACCGTTAATAAAAGGCTGAATATATGATAAAAAATTACCATTTTACAACAATTATTGAATTTAACTTCTCATATTCAAAATTTCTTTTAGATTTGTTTAAATTTTAAAATCTGTTAATGTATTTATCCCAATTAATTGTTCTTTTAATAATTTTATTAAATGAACTTTTCTGATTATTTTTAGAAAAAAAAAATTGTTTGGTTGTTTTGAGAATTTTCACATAATTTGCTTTTAAAATTAACTTTGGGCTTCTATTTTATAAAATATTTCCATTTGCCCTTCATTGCAATCACTAAAATTGTACTTGAAGACAGAAAAATCGAGCTTTGCTGTGAATTTTCCTGTTGCTTTTGGCGAGTAATTTTTTTGATGGCGCAAATTGAACGACGCACTTTGGGCGGCGAGTGATTCCGAGAAGCGCTTCAAATGATATATTGTCAATTAATTACGAGAGGCGCGAGCGAGAGATCCCCACTTGCTCTCGGTGTGTTCGCGCGGGGAGGAGAGAGATTTTTTCCGAATTAGCCGTGCCAAGAGATCGAGGAATCGAACTCGAGAATAAGCCATTCCTCTTCGGCCGCCACTCGGGACAGCCAGGGTGTGTAATTTCGCCGTCGATCGCCACGCACCTGTGCCACCTCAGGTATTATAAAAACCCACACACTGAACACAGAAAAACTCTTTTTATTGTGAAGCGGCTATAATTTGCCCTGTTGATTTACAACGTGCGAAATCGACGCCTGTCCACACGTCATAAATTTTAAAATAATATTATTTCTTTGCTCGCTTCATATCGTCTCTGATTTTTGTTATTATTTCTGCTAATTATTTCAGCTTTCAATGTACAAGTTAAACTGAAATCTTATTGAAATATTTTTATCGATTTAAATTAAAAATATCAAAATTTTTAATATTCCATCATTTAATTTTTTTTTATATAAATTTCATTTTTTTTTATAAATTCAAAAATTCTAAGAATTTATTTGTTAAAAAAATTTAATTGAACGTAAACGCTGAAAATTTCTCATTCAAATATTGAATTTATAATTTTTGTTATTTTTTCAATATTTTTCCAATAAATCTAATTATTATTCAAAAATTTTACTGTTTACTTATTTAATATAAAAATTTCATTATAATAAAAAATTAATGGTTATTAATCTAAAATCTTCAACTTTTGGTGGGAACTTTCTCCCTATAGTTGTTTGTTGATGTTGAGAATCACGAATCACGTAAGAGCTCTCTTACATTAATTCCAAACGCTTTTAGGTTTTTTTTTCGGTCACGCACGTTTTCAGGAATGCCCTCTGCAAAATTGTGTTATGTAACAATTTTTCTAGGAGATAATATTTTGATCCGTAGCATAATTATGGAAAAATATTTAGGTCCCGCAAGCCAAATGAGAATGACGCATGAAATTTATACACAAAAAATCTTTAGGAAATCAATTTTGATTGTTGTTGCTCAATTTTTAGTCTTATTAGATTTTAAACTTGCAATTAAAAAAACGGCATAACATTTTTAATTATGAAAAAATTGGCCTAGTTGCCAAATTATATTATAACAGCAAACCTTATCTATGCCAATTTGATGGGATTTTCTCTATTTCTTGAAACACAAACTTCAGTCATTTTATTTGGATAATGAAATTCATTAAATATTCTTAGAGAAACTAGAATGTTATTTTTAGATGCAATTTTTATTTCATCAATTTAGAATTCTTATATAATAATCAATTTACTACATTAAATTAACTTTAAAGAATTTCAAAATATAATTTTTGATTAATTTTTACTAATTTAATTGAAAATTGCAAAACTTAATACACAAATTTCTTCCAGGGGTCTAATTCTGTAAGCTTTTTCGTTTCTATTTCCATTTCTATATTCATTTTCCATTTGCTTACCCATTCTATTTCGTCGCCTTTTTCGATTACGACTTCTATTTCGCAGCCTATCCATTTCCATTTCTAATTCGTCGTCAATTTTAATAGTTGAGCCATATATATATATATATATATATATATATATATATATATATATATATATATATATATATATATATATATATATATATATATATATATATATATATATATATATATATATATATATATGTGCAAATTGTGGTAACACAGTGTGGGAGCAAATTGTGGTACCACAGTGTGGGATCAAATTGTGGTACCACAGTGTGGGCGCTAATTGTGGTACCACAGTGTGGGAGCAAATTGTGGTACCACAGTGTGGGCGCAAATTGTGGTACCACAGTGTGGGAGCAAATTGTGGTACCACAGTGTGGGCGCTAATTGTGGTACCACAGTGTGGGAGCAAATTGTGGTACCACAGTGTGGGCGCAAATTGTGGTACCACAGTGTGGGCGCTAATTGTGGTACCACAGTGTGGGCGCAAATTGTGGTACCACAGTGTGGGAGCAAATTGTGGTACCACAGTGTGGGCGCAAATTGTGGTACCACAGTGTGGGCGCAAATAGTGGTACCACAGTGTGGGCGCAAATTGTGGTACCACAGTGTGGGCGCAAATTGTGGTACCACAGTGTGGGCGCAAATAGTGGTACCACAGTGTGGGCGCAAATTGTGGTACCACAGTGTGGGCGCTAATTGTGGTACCACAGTGTGGGTGTAAATTGTGGTACCACAGTGTGGGCGCAAATTGTGGTACCACAGTGTGGGAGCAAATTGTGGTACCACAGTGTGGGCGCAAATTGTGGTACCACAGTGTGGGAGCAAATTGTGGTACCACAGTGTGGGAGTAAATTGTGGTACCACAGTGTGGGAGCAAATTGTGGTACCACAGTGTGGGCGCAAATTGTGGTACCACAGTGTGGGAGCAAATTGTGGTACCACAGTGTGGGCGCAAATTGTGGTACCACAGTGTGGGCGCAAATAGTGGTACCACAGTGTGGGAGTAAATTGTGGTACCAAACAGCGCACGCGATGAATTAAATAATATAAAATACATGGTTGCTAATTTGCTAAAAAAATATTTTAATTGTATTTGAATTCAACCAATTTATAAGAAATTGATTTAATTAACTTCGTGAAAGGAAAAATTATCTTGATCCCCCCTAATTATGAGCCATAAAAAGATTCGATTAAAAGGGGGTGCGAGAGACATATAAGAATTATAAATATACATTTTCATTAAAAATTAAATAATTCATGATAATTTTATCAACCTGAATATTAAAAACCATTCGAAGAGCACTGTAAGCATAGGGAATAATTAAATTAAATATAAATAAATAAATGGCTCAAATATTAAAATTGACGACGAAATAGAAATGGAAATGGATAGGCTGCGAAATAGAAGTCGTAATCGAAAAAGGCGACGAAATAGAATGGGTAAGCAAATGGAAAATGAAATAGAAATGGAAATGGAACGATTCTATCTTACAGAATTAGACCCCAGATATTAATTAATTTTGTGTTGTATTTACATAGAAAAGAATGAGATATTATTTATTTATTATATTTATTAAAAGATGAATTAACGATTTTTTTTAGAATAAAATATAGTTTGTGATTTAAATTGTTGCTAAAATTTCTTTCATTAAAGACAAAAATCTAGTCGCCGTAAGTCTGAGCCCAATAAACAAACTTCTTGAAACAAAAAATCTAGAAATTTCTCAGATCCATTTACAAATTTTCACAATCAAAACATACACGTCTTGTTTTTTCCTGCGAATCAACAAACATCTCTCGTCTCCAATTCAATGTCGGCGCTTCTCAGAAACCACAAGACAAATTAATTTGTCGGTTGGCGCGGCGGCGGCGGCAATAAAGGTTTGAGCACCGAAAATGAATTAACGTCTTTTCCATTATGTGATTTTTTTCCTCGGGGCCGCGAGAGACAAAAAAGGCCCCGCGGCCGGTCCGGAGAATAATTAGCGCGCGCGTGTGTGTTTGGATGCGCCGCCGCGAGTGAGTGATGCATCAGCACATTTTCGTGCGAGATTTTAATATATAATTTTTCCGTGAACCGGAATTTTAAGCGATATTGCATAATGGCGACAAGTTCCGTGAATCGCCAAATGAAAAGGGACAAAAAATTAAGCCGGGAGGTCAAACAAAGCCCGCGGCCGAGATTTCTTATTTCTAACGACAGAGCAGACGCTTTGACACTACGCGGAAAAACAATTAGGACCGCGATCATTTTCATTCTTTGATTCTCGGTATATGTATAAAATCGATGCCTATCTCTCTCTTGTGTGTGTGTCAGATTAATTGACAGCACCGAGGCTTCCAAAGCCCCCCCCCCCCCCCCCAGCTGCGTCTGTTTGTTTTGACACGACTGGGGAAAAATTTTATTAAAATATCGCATCGTCCTGACAAGTGATCCCTCATATCGTCTGGCAGCATTTTTTTTAGAATTTATTTTGATTCTCTTTGATTATTATTATGTTCTTAAAATGAAAAATTAGTTCATTTTTTATTTCAAAAAATTTTTGAACTTGATCTTTGATTAAAAATTAAAAGGTTTGTATTTTGAAACAGGTTCTGTGTTTCTCTGAATTAGCAACAATTTAATTTTGTTGATTATAATTTCTTTTATTTTTCTTGAATGAATATCGTTTGCATTTTGTTTTTTAAATCATTAATTATTTATTTTCCTTAATAAGCGCTTTTATTTAATAAATTAATTAAAAATATTTTTAAGAATTTATTCATAAAATTTATTGAATTTTAAAGTTTGAAGAGTTATTTCAGATTTACAATTAAAAACAAGATTGGGAAATAATAATACGTAAAATAAAATAAAACAAAGATTCAGGCAACTTAATATCTGTAAAAACTGGTAAAAACCTAAAAAAATAGTTTTATAAGTTTAGAGACAAGTTTATATTATTCAATTGTTAGCAAATTTGCTATTTTTTAATATTGTTTGTCAGACTTGTTTGGAGTAAAATAAAATGAATTGAAAATTCAATAAATTGAGCTTCATCCCAACAAAAAGAGGTTTTTTTTAAATACTTCATCGTGCTTTATATATTCCTTTTTGAAATTTTAAACAAAAAACTTTCCAAAAAAGATAATTTTACTGTAATGGGAACTAAATTATGTCTCTATAAAGAGTTGAAATATAATAATTAAAGATAATTCAGGTAAAAAAGTTCACCTAGATTTATTTTTAACGCTTGCAATAAAATGTCTATTTTAAATACAATTTCTATACAAAAATTTAGTTTGTTTGAGAAATTTTTAATTTTTCTTAATTTCATTAAAAACAAAATCTTTTCTAAATTTTTATATTGAATTTAATAATAGGGATGGTATTGGATTGAAATCACAGATTTTCAGTTACTTTTCGTATTTATTAATTCATCTTTCTCCATCTATATTCCTTACAGTAACGATTGAGGAAAAACATGACACTAAATAGTTTTATTTTCCGAAAACAACCAAAACTCAACCCTCGAGATGACGCACGGACAATTTTTTTGCACAAGTACATAATTGAGATACGATTTTCCGAAGTACGTTTCCATCGAACATGTATTGCCAGAAATTTTGAGGCAGAGAGAATAATTAATTGAAAGTGAGGAGACGGCAACGGTGAACTGCATATAAATTGGACTCGGATCGATCAACAACATAGGCGCGATTTTTGTTTCACATATTTCATCGTTTTTTTTGGCTTGAGCAATGCAATAATTTTAATTCTCGTATCAGAAAAATGAAAACAATGTATTCGTCGATGGCAAAATTCGCCGTTTTATAAAAAGTATAGCATATTATCATCTTCAATTGTAAATACACTTTTCATTTTCGTCAATATATAAGTTGAGATTTATTTTTTAAAAAAGCGCCTGCTCTTCATCTTTCTGGTCTACTTTTGTTCACTTGAGTAAAGGCACGGAAAAAATTCCATCTGAGGCTCCAATTAGTTCGTTAATTATATAGTTTGATGGATCACAATTAGTATGTACAACACAATAATTTTTTTTTGTATAAATATTCAGCAGCTTGTATGGCCTGTGAGAATAAATGTTACAGAGAGAAAGAGAGGGTTAAGGAAGGTGAACTATTTACACGTCGGGAAGAATCTTCTCATCTTTCACACTTACTTATATTTACACTCAAGAAGAACGGCTTATTGCGTGAATTAAATCATAATTAGCAACTTAGGGCTAGACTTCAGGAACTTGTAAAATTCTTCTGCTCACTTTAACCGGAATTCGCGCTGCTACGAAACATAATAAATAAGTGCGAAAAACTGCAGAGATGGCAAAAAAATATTAAATTTCTTTGTACAATAAATATAAAATACAAATAATTATTTTAAAAAATTGATTCTTTCCACAGGTACACATTCAAACAGACGTGTGCGGGTGTGAGAGAGTTGGCAAGAAGTGATTTTTTGTTTTCCTGATTGAATGCAGACTTCTTCTTCTTCTTCGGTCCGCTGCCTGAAGGCACACAAATGAGCAACAGAACGAGACTGCCACCCCCGGGGGCGGCAACCCTAGGCCCACTTGGCTGCTGGAGCGACAACGAACGAGCACATCAACTTGCGTCCGGTATTGTTAATGATTTTTGTTCCGCTGGCACAAAATAAAACTAAAACACTCTCGGTCCGGCTGGAGCTCGACGACGGTTTCGGAGGAGGTCGTTTTTAGTGCGAATTAAAAAAAAAAACAGATTTGCAGAAACGGTGCGTTTCCATTGTGCTTGTTCGTTTGGCAAATTATTTAAAATGTAAGACTTTCTAGTTTAAAAGAAATTGGCAAATTTTTAAAATTGAGAGCAAAAATTGATGTTAATGAAAATGTTTATGATTTAAATTTAACATAAGTCTCTCATTATTATTTTTATTTGAGAAGTTTTTCAGATTTGAAAAACTCCAAAATTTTTAATATGATTTTAATTTTAAATCTGTAGCGTAGAAATCCTTATATCACTTCATACTCATTTGCTAACTTTTTTTGTCAATAAAAATTTGCCAAGTCAATAAAATTTCTCAAGAAATAAGACTTTTAATTTTTATCAGAACAATAAAATACAAACACAAAATAAAAACACCGATTTCAGCGCGACAAAATCAGCATCCGGTGGTTAATAGTGATTAAAAACTTATATAAATAAAATAATACATCAGTCTTCCACGTCCGTACATCTAGCACGACCCCTCCTTAGCCCCCCGATCGGCCCCAGCCAAATAACCTAAGTCCTGAGATGGGTTCGAGAGTCAATGCTCAGGTCACTGGTCACCTTCGCCGGCCGCCTCCGGCCGCGGCGGCGCCCCGCCGTGGGGGACGTAGTTGGAGGCGGCAGGCCTCCGTATCACGGGCACGCCCCCGTTGCCGAGGGCCACGTAGCCTGAGGAGGCGGCCACGGGGGTGGCCGCGGCCGCCGGGCCGCTTTTGGCCGGGTCGGCGTTGCCCACCTTCGTGTAGCCGTTGGGGGCGGCCGGGGGCAGGGTTGGCGACCCTGACGCCGAGGAGGAGGCTGAGGAGGAACTTGGGTCTGCAGTCGAGGGGGAGGCGGACGGTTTCCACACATAGGGGTGGGACACGTAGCCGCTGGCTGAGGTCACCGGCGATGCGCGCGGAACCTGAAACACAACATTTAATTTTATGAACAAAAACTTTAATTTGATGGGATGGAAAAAAAAAATTTATCAAATTTAAAAGCTGATTTGAAATAAAATAAATTTTCCGAATTAATAAGACCATGAAATAATAAAATTTCAATTTATTATCCTCATTATTTGTATGAAATTTATAAAAAATTATATTTTATTTAAAAAAAAATAAATAAATAAAAAGGTTCAAGAATTTATAACATTTAATTTTTAGATAATTAGGAAAATAAATTGAAAAATTTGGTTGTGTTTAAGAGTTGATTTGGTTCTTCAATAATTTTTTAATTATAACTTAAAATTCTTTCTAATGTCAAAAATATTGAAACAAAAAAATTCAAAAATTATCAAAAAAATTCCGATTGATATTGATTTTTCAGCATATTCAATATAAATTTCAAAGTCTTGCCAAAATAAACTTTAAAGCCATTTAATTTATTCTTATGAATTTTAATAATTTTTTATTTCTTCTGACCTGTTCCAGGCTGACGTAGCCGCCGCTCTTGTTGGTGAGATTTGGCGCCGTCGCCACGCTTGGTGGCGCCTGCTCGCCCACCCTGATGTAGGGCCCGACGGGCGACTCGGCCCCCGGGGCGCCTACCCTGCAGTACTGAAGACAAGGGTAGGCGTCGGGCTGCACACCTGGCTGCTGCACAGGGGTGGCGCGGAACTCCCAGTCCTCGTCTTCGTCGGCGTGGCCGAGATCCGAGGGCGCCTTGTTGCTGCCCTCGTTCATCTGAAACCATGTACAAAATTTCGGTGTCAATTCAAAGTTGTCTTTTATTTACTTATTTCACCCTCAACAAAGAAATATAAGATTTTAACAATAATGATTTTTTTTCTAATTAAACACAAGTAGAGTTGAAATAAATAAACATTTTGGTAAGGAGAAATTATTAATGTCCAAATGGAAAAGAAAATTGTTACAAAATATTCATTTTCATATGAATAAAAAAAATCTATTTGCTCTGAACTGAAGCCTGTTTTCTTTTCCCTCTAAGTGCTCACAAACAACATTTTGATATAAAATATTTATTTATTAAAACTTCTCAGATAAAATGTATATATAAATTAGTAAAAAATATTTAGGGTGTGTTAGTCGCTTCAATAATTATGTTGCTACACTGCGTCCGGTTTCATCACCTGATCGACTTCTGTGCCGGAGTCGGTCGAGATTTGTCTGTTGGACGTCAGCGAGGAGGAAATACTGTCCTCGTGTCCGCCGGCGGAGCTGCAGCCGGAACTGTCGCCGCTCGGGTTGCGACCGTGTCTCTCCGACTTGGTCAGCAGCATCTGCAAAGTAACGCACAATTTGTCTAAGTTCACTCCTAATTAAATATATGTCTGGTCTCGAAATTTACGGTTGAATGGAGCACTTTTTTTATCAATTATCTGTCCCCATTAACAATTAAGCTGATGAGAAATTTCCACTCAAAATGAGGGATGATTTTATTTCAATTTTCTCTCCGGAAAAGGAGTCTGATTGTGACATTTACATTAGATGATTTGTAAATATTCAGGTATAAAACATGAAATTTATACTAAAAAAAACAAGCATAACATAAATGACTGTGAAATTTGATAATTAAAGATTTATTAGAAATATTAATGAAATTATTCTGATTGTATTTAATGAATACAAAATAATTTAATTAAAAACATAAATTATCCAGGACTACAAGGAAATTTAGTGTAACCACGTAATTAATAAAATTTCATATTCCGAAAAAATCTTGTTCTCTGATTTGTAAAAAATCAAGTGAATCTATGAAACTTTGCCTCTATGTTTAATTTTTAACTACTTTCTTTTATTAAATTAATTCAAATTCCAAGTTTCCAAGACGACTCACCTCAGAATCGGCCAAGTCAGCTGGAGTGACTCTGCTGGGGTCAACAGGCTTTTGGGCCGGTCCGAATCCCATGATATCCTGCTGCAGAAATTAAGCCGCGTTTAGTATAAAAAAATTCAGATTTATTTTTAAAATTTATGAAAAGCAGAAGAAATTTTGAAGCGGAAAGTCGAAAGGACGAACCTTGATTTTATCCACATAGAAAATGGACTGCTGTTAAAAATGTTAAGGTTGTGAAAGAGAAAAAAAATCACACGAGAAATTTGTTAATTGCAATGCAAACAAATGCAAAGTCGCTGCTTTTCGCTCTCTCGGTGTTGTAACACGAAAAGGTAAAGGTGGTTGGAAAAAAAGTGTCCCGTCATAGGACCACCGAGAGGAGTTTCGAGAATCAAGAGTGACAAGTCAATAAAACACGTCGTCGGGACAAAAATTGAGTCTTTTCTAGGTAGTTAGTTCTGTATGCGCCTCCCGCCGAGGCGAAAATAATCCGAGTCAGTGTTCCGCGTAAAGTGCAGCGGCATTATATATACTTTTTTTTTTATCAACTCACCAACGAGGGGTCCAGCCCAGGTGGCAGATCCACTTCCACGGCGCGCATTTCCTTCACCGAGAACCAGGCCCTGCGAAAAAAAAGGAGAAACAAATTTTACCACCCGCGTGTTAATTCCAAGAAGCGCGCATCGATGGACCTCCTTGATTGATTCCTCATCCGACGGCGACAGTAAAAAAAAAATCAGAGCCCACCGCTGCGGCGACAAAAATAATTCACGGAACCGCCGACAATTAATTAAGAGATTACCGAGAATAAAATTTAATGCCGGCCGAGTGTCAAGAAGGACATCATTAAATTATTATTCCCTCTCTGCTCAAACATGCAGCAGCCAAAAGAAAGAAAGAAAGAGAGAGAATGGCGCGCGGGCCTATTAGTAGGAAAGAGCGGCCTTCTCGGAAGTGTTGCACGATGGACCTCCAGATTGCCAATTCCGAGAAGCTCTTTTATTTAACCCCTTTCCCCCCACCCCGAGCGGCGGCCCGCATCGCCTAAGAGCGCAGTCTGCGACCGGTCGCCACCGCGACAGCACCGAACACCACATCGGTGAGTAGGGACGTATTTTTTTCCAAGATGAAATATAATTATATTTTAATTTTTGATTTAACTCACTTTTTGCCGTAGAACCAGAGCAGGCCGACCAGGGTGCACGCCACGATGAACACGGACAGCAGGGTGATGCTGAGACTAGAGAAGCCTGCAACAAGTCCAAACAGAGATTTGTAGGTTTGTTCGCAAAACGTTCGGAGCCAGAATCATCAAATTCTCGACTCTCGTGTGTATAAAAATTAATAAAAAAATCAGGCGAAAAATAAAGGTGCAAAAACTCGGATGATTTTGGGTTTTATTTATGTCAGTACAATTAAATTTATTTATTTGTATAATAATAATTGCTACTTTTTACAATTCTTTAATTGATGGATACATTCAACAAGCACTCTGATTGACAAAAAAATTGGCAAGTTTTTGAAGGAAGTCGCAATCCGGGGACTTGTCAAAGTTCAACGAATAAGCTTTGAATCTTAAGTCGAATTTGTTTCTATCAATTTATTGAAATAAACCAATAATTAAAAAAAAAAAAAAATTAAATCTGAATAAAATATTGATGTATTATTTTTATGCAAATCCTTAATTTATCTCTTTTCATCATTTATTTTAAATGAAAAAATGTGAGATTTTTTTCCCACCAACCTTTGAAGCCTTTGAATTTACAAGGAAATCTTTAGGAATTTCGAACGTGTCGTAAATTGCAAACAATATTAGACCTTTCCGTTTATCACACGCTCGTAAAAGCTGACATTTTTGACAAGTCCCCGAAAATTGAAACGTCCAGATGCGGTGGCGGATAAGCAGGTGTGCACGAGAGGACGATTTTTTTATTTGTATTTTTCAACTTTATTATATTTTTATTTTTCTTCCACTTTCTTTACGATTTCGCGGAAGACTCGCGCGGGACTGCCAAAATCCAAATTCAGAGGAAGCGCGCGCGCGCGCGTGATTTACGAACGTATGCTGAACACGGCTTTCTCGAGAGATGAAATAATTTATGTCGCACTTCTTCTCTAAATTTACACATCGCCGTTTGCTTCTCATTACACACTGGTTTTCGAATTAAATATATGCAAGTGGAACTGCGAGTTCCTTGAGTTAACGGCCTTGCTTTGAATAAATTTGCAGGACCTAGAAATGAATTCAAAGTGGTGACTTCCTTTTTAACTCTTAAAGTTGCCAAATGATGAAATTAGTGCAATATTTTGGCCCTTTGAAATTTTCAGATATTAAATAATTCAAAACTATTTGATAAATTGAAATATATTAATTATAAATAGTTATTTTAGTCTAGTAGGAAGTGTAGAGGAGCTGTTTGCTCCAGACCTTCCAAAACCCGAGCCCGTGTTTTTTCCTCTCGTAAAACCACGACCTGCGCCACAACCACTGCCGCACCATCAAGTGGCCCTTGGGCTTTGAGGGCTTCTCCTTTGGCCGCTTGAGCCACGGCAAGTGCAGCTCGGGAATCGTGTTACCTGAGTCGAAGCAGTTGTCGCGCTCCTGCGGCTCCGACCACGGCCCGTAGAACGTTTGGTTGTGTTCGTCCACGTTGACGGCGCGCACGCTGAACACGTACGTCCGACGCTTCTCGTCCACGCTGCAGTCTGTCACCGGCACGATCAGCTCGGTCACTGCAACAGCAAAAGGGAAAGAAAGATTTGTCAATTACTGAAATCTGTAGAATTTTTTTTTTTTTTAATTTTAATTTATGTTGGATGAAAACTCACCATTATTGGTGTACTTCTTGTTCATCGAGTTGTTGGACCCGTCAACCACCTGCACGGACAACTCGTAGAAGTCGATGTGGCCTCCATGGACTGGAGGCGGCTCCCACCAGACCAAGAACTTTGAGGCGTTCACACGCTTGACAATCAGTCGCTCGATCATTCCAGGATCTGCAAAAATTTATTTAAAAAAAAAAACGTTTAGTGAATTTTCTTTGCCACAATTTCAACAGGAAAAAAAATGAAATGAAACATGAATTAAAAAGATTTTATTCATGATCTTTCAATTTACCTGTACTTAAATTAAATAAACGCTCAGAAATAAATCCCAATTTTTGGGAAAATAATTTATTATTAATTGATTTAAAAAAAATAAAATTAACTCACTTCCAATCAACGTTTTGGCCCAAATCACATTGGACTCTTCCGAGCAGGCAATTGTGCAGGCTGTCAGGTACACTGAGTGATTTGTGAAACTTGGCAAGTTTTGCAGAGTGACCTCCTGTGAACAATTTCATAAAATTAAATTCCAATTTTCAATATTTCCTCAATTTTGACTCACGGTAATGCTTCCGTCCACCCTAGTCGAGTTCTTGTCGAAGTGGATTTCGTAGAATTTGACGTTGCCGTTGGTGTTGACGGGCGGGTTCCATTGGATGTACAAAGACGAGTTGGTCACATTGGCGACCTCCAGACTGGTGGGTGGATCTGGTGCCGCCTCCAGGGTGGTGGCCAAGTGGGCGTCGCTAGGCATGCCCTGACCTCCCCTGCTCACCACCGACACCTGGTACATGTAGGTCGTGTAAGGCATCAGCTCGGAAATGTTGCCATGAATTGTCGTGGCGTCACCAGCGACATATTCAATGTGAGCGGGTTCTGGAATAAATAAAATTTTAATTAATTAATAGTAGAGAAATAAAAAACAATTGTATTTTAACAAACCTCTGCAAGATCTGTTTTGGGCTGAGACGATCGGACAGTACGAAATGTTATATCCAGTGACGAGACCGATTCTGTTTGAACATTCCAGTCTCCAGCCCACTTCAATGAACTTGGAGCCAACCTTATTCAACCACACATCTTTCATTTTACCCAGACCTGGCACAAATGAGTAAATATAAAATTTAGCACGAGGCCTCAAGAGGGAAATTCTCAATTCTCACCTTTGTTGTGAATTGCTGTGCAAACAGTCCATGAGAGACCAGAGCTTGTGTTGGCACCGTTCGCAGAAATGGCAAATTGGTAAATTTTCTTGTCGTCCGGCACCGTTATGTTTATCGTGTTCACATTGGCTGGCACGTGGGTCCAGTTAAAGTTCCCCTGAGAAATAAAATATTCAGTGTGTACTCCTGATTTTGTTCTGATGAACTTACAGTGCACTGGTGTGGCCTGTCTCTCTCGCTGTCACACCAGAAAATGGTGTAGTTGACAATCTTGGGCAAAGTGGTTTGCTCGTCGGACAAAGGCTCGTTCCAGGACAACTCGTAGATGCCTCGGCCGAATTCAATTTTAGTAAAGGACAGCGGCTCTTTGATGACTGGAAAATAAAATTAATTTATAAAGGACTTTTGCCAATGTTTTGGTTTTTACCATTTGAGTGGCTGGGTATGGTAATGATGGATGGATTCAACGACTGGCCTACGCTGTTGGAGGCGTAGATTTTGAATTTGTGCATGTGGTGAGATAAACCCTTGATCTTGGCAAAGGACACGGTCGTCTCACTCGGCGTGAGGGTACTGATAAAATAGAAAAATTATAGCCAAAAAAAGGTCAAAAATTATAATCTTACAGAGAATCGCCGTTCTCATCCTCTTGTACAATTTTGTAGTCAAAGTTGTCCCCGTTGTGGTAATATTCGGGAATGTGCTGCCAGTATATGTAAATGTCCCGTCTATGCAGGTCACCCAGAATTTCAAAGCTGCCCGTATCAGTCTTAGGAGAAGCACCAGGTCCTGATAAAATTCATGTAAAAATGCGTCAAAAGGTTGAACAAAGAGAAACTCACTAATGGCAGCAGTTTTGATCTGCAGCACCGATGGCTCCGAGTAACTCGAGTCTCTGGCTGCGTGAGACTTCATCTGGACACGGATGCTGTACTCCGTGAATGCGTAGGGAAGATTGCTGAGGTGCAGGGTCAAATTCTTGGCCCTTGGGTTTAGGTGACTTGTGTTCGCCATCTGATTTAATTCAGGTGCATCAAATTAATTTTAAATATTAAATTTCATTGAAAGAAAAAGGACAGTTTAAAGTAAAATTAATTTAAATCTGATATGAAAAGAGATTTTAGTCTCTTTGAGAAATGGAACTTACAATCCAGCGATCTTTCGGCAACCACTTGTGCCGATACTCAACCCTGTGGATTAAGCCTGGAGGGAAGTTCTGCAGAGGATAGGGGATGGCCCAGGTGAGCGTGACGCTGTGGGCCGTCAGGTTGTGCGCCTGCAGGTTCTCCGGAGGCGCCGGAATAACTGCGGTTTGAAGGAATAATTATTTTCAATTACGATTTTGCTAATGAGCGAAATACCGTGGGCGTAGTGGTGGAACTTGATGGAGGGAAAAGTTATGTTGCCCAGCGCGTTGCTGGCGTTCATGATGATGTAGTAGTACTCAAAGGGCTGCCTGTAGATGGGCGTGGTGCTCAAATTCCAGGTGCACGTGTTGTTGTCCGCGTCACTCTTGGTGGGGCACGACACACTCATCCTGACATGAAATTAATTAGCCTCCGGAATTTTTTTTCCACTGGGGTAAAAAATGAAATTTATAAGTGAACTTTTAAATGTGCTTTTTGCTCTACGAAGCTGCTGTGTCTCAAAATAATTGTTAGTGAAAATGCAAACTCTGCGTGTTAGGTCACCTCGTGAAAGAGTCCGAGATGCATTTCCTGTCTCCATGGCAGTGGTCCACGGGCGCGGTCAGTGTTTTTTGGAAACTGCTGCATCAATTGTACTTTTTTTAAAATAAGCTTTTCAAAATTTGTCAAAGGAAAAAGCTGGTACAAAAGATTTGAAAAGCAAAGCAACACTGCAGCGCGAATTAGAAATTTCTTACAGCGATGTTAAAATTTTTATAAACACACTTGGCAGCAACAAAAAGCACATTGCACAAAGTAGCACTGACAAATAGAAGCAAGAATCTGACAAACAGTTTCCTCCATTTAATAATAAAATTAAAAGAAAAAAACTGAATATCAGAATTGAGATGAATAAAAGGCTTTTTAAATAATGTGAAAGTATTGATGAAAAAGTCAAATACTTTCTGCCTGCGCGTCCAGGCAGTGACCAGGAGATGTGGTAGTCGGTGGGCAGGAAGTGCTCCTCGACGTCCCAGCGACAGGTCAGCGCCTGCCAGTTCTGGGAGAAGCAGCTGAAGTTCTTCACTTCCTGCGGCCTCTCTGCAAAAGCGAAAAAAAAACAGTTTAAATTTGCCACATTTTGCCAAACTCGACTCACTTCCGACGATGACCTTGTTGAGGCAGACGACCTTTTCGTGGTACTCCTTGTTCTTGCGCAATTTGCAGTACATGACGGTCTTGTTGGAGAGCGGCAGGTCAGTCATCAGCAGCTGCACGGTGGTGTCGTTGAGCACGCTGATGTGCTCGTGCGAGATCTCGTGGGTGCCGTTGTAGAACGTGAGGTAGCTCGAGTCGCGCCCCTTGGTCATGTTGTGGTCGGGGTAGACGGTGCAGTTGATCCGCAGCGGATTCCCCTCTTCCAGGACAATGTCTCCGCGAGGCCACGTCACTATTTGGTGAAAAATTTAAGCAAATTTTAAAACTTCAAAATTGTTAAAAAAAAAAATAGTAATATAGTGATGGTTTTTAATTCAGATTAACAGGCTAAAATAGAAATTAAATAAATAAATTGAAACAAGAATTAATTATTTAATTTTCAAAAGGACAAGTAATTTCTACAACATTCACTTCAATTATTATATTTTTATTTCAGTGAACTCCTTATTTTTTCAGAAATATTCAAAGCATCAAGAAAAAAGTGAAAAAATGCTAAATTAATTTTTATTTTATTTACTTTATAATATTTTCCCCCGTCTTTTTCCATTAAAGAAATCATTAAAAATTCTATAGCCAGTAAAATGTTTTCATCTGGAAAATAACACTTTTAACGAAAAGTTGGGCGATAAATTTTGACATAAATTAATTAACGATTCCCTGATGATATTCCATTAAGCAAAGGTTTGGGAGGCAGATATGCAAATTCGCTGGCGATTTCTGGGAAACGGCGCGTTTATTCAGCGATGTTCGAGGTGCGAATGAATTTGAAGCTGTCAGCGGACTGATCGGAAACTCACCTCCTGGTGTGCTGAGGCCCGGCATACAACCGTTGGCCTCGCAGGGCAGCAGCAGGGCGGCCAGCAGCAGCAGACATACTGTCCCGCTGCGAGCCATCGATTCTGTTAGCTCTCTGCTTCTTCTAGACGCTTCATTGGGCACGATTCTGAAACAAAACACAAACGCAAATTTTAAACAAGTTTCAGACTAAAAATATTTCATTATTATTTTTAAATTCCATAAACTCGAGTCGAGGAAAAATGAGCGAATTCTGTAACGTGAAAGGCTTTATGTATCAAATCAAAATTAAAATCCTTCTCTAATAAAATCTCAAACGGATCAAAGGCTGAATTTTCATTTATATTTTGAGATATTTATTTCCCTTTGATTGGATAAGAAATTTATATGGAAATCGTGCGTGGGAGGCTATTTTTTTCTGTTTCATTAAACAGAAGCCATTTCCGACGACAAAGAAAGGGCGCTTTGCGAAAAGCAGAGACGGAGACACCCACGGGCCAAAGTTCGATCGATACACGGACGACCCGGCGTAGTTTGCCAAAACAAGGCCCGCGCCGCTTGCAGACAAAAATTTGCGTCGGAGCTTTTCCTCGTAGCCGAATTTTGATAAAAGAAAAGCAAAACTCATGAAAAAATTGCGCAGATCATGAATTAATTGGCGGGAGCAGGGAATCGGATTTTGCCGGTCCATGTGGGGCAGAGGTCGCGGCAAAGTTTGAGGTGCAAAGTGGACGCTAATTGGCAGAAAACTCGCGCTCTTCCAGGAAATGAAAGCGGTGTGAATTTCGCGAAAAACGCGCGTATATGCTAAAGTGGAAAGCAACACCACGACAGTCTGACGATGATTTATCGCGAATAATAATAATTAAAAGTTGACCGAAGCGAGATGTGTTTTCGCGGAAACGAAGTTATCAAATTCAGATTTTGATTTTGAAATAATTTTCAAATGTTATTGACAAAAACCAACAAGGAAATTTTCATTCGAAAACATGTTTTGAGATTTATATCTGAATCTTCAGAAATATTTTGCTACCGTTAGAATAAAATTGTTTAAAAATCGAAATTTTTTTTCAACCTCAAAATTTACAATCATTCGGTAAAAATTTGTCTTCACATGAAACTTTCACAAGAGTTATGTAAGATGCAAACAGCTGTTTGAAATTCGCGGAAGAAAATCGATTAGGGAATTAAGCGAGCGTAGTTTATCAGCCCGGTTAGCGAGAGGATATAAGATGAGATCGTCCGGCCGCTTAATTTATTCAAGGGCCCATTTTAACGAGGCAAAGACTTCCAGGAACGCCGCGCAGATAATCCAAAGTTTAGCTGTCGCGCCTCGTACAATACCAATTTGCGTTTCTTTGTTTCAGCGTCACCGAAAAAATTGTGTTTTGACAATCGGCTGTCGGCTTTTGATCAACGCGAGATGAAAGAAGAAATTTCCAATCGCACACACGTGCCTGAAAATGCCTTCGGAACTTTGCTTTATTTTTCTCCCACGAGTCCACAGCTTCCCTTTTTTGATCTTTTTCCTCCTGATCGGGGTGTTTTTGTTGATTGTTTTCGTGCCGGAAAGCGACGCTTCCGTTCCTCAGAGAAAACAGCCCCGGCCGGAGCTCACCCCTGAAGGGAAGAAGTGCATCCGACAAGTAAACACTCTGATCTGGGAGAGAGAGTTTGTGTTTATTACTTTCGTTGCTGCTCTTTCCCTCGCTTCTCGATTTGGTAATTAAATGTAGAGCGCCACTTGTAAACATTCAGAGGAAAAGATTTTCGGTTTATAAAAGTTTTTAAGTAAATATCATTTATAAACAGCCGCAACTTTTCAAGTTTAACAAGACAAATTTTCAAATCATCCCAAAATTATCTTCAAATAAAAGGTAAAATAAGGAGATAATTTTAAATATTCGAAATTAAATAATCTGCTAAGTTTATTGGCAAAAATAACTGATTATTTTAATATAAAATCAAAATTGATATCTTTTATGACTTAATCTCTTAAAGCAATATCGGTGTAACACTGCAGTAATTATTTGTTTAAAGGCAAATTAAATTTTGTTAAAAGGATAAAAGCCTTGAGCAAGCATGTGATCGCGAGCGAATAATCAATCAAGGGGCAAACTTCAAACAATGCACGCTCGCTAACTCCTAATTGCCGGCAATAAATTGGCGCGCATTTAAAATTATCTCTCGAGCTGCGGGGCTTGTTTTCAATATTCGAGCCGGCCGGGTTGTGCGAACGCAGATCAATTATCGCGGCGCAAATTCCGGGAACGCCTGCGCGCATGGCGAGATGCACCGTACTCGTCGATCTCCACTTCCCATTTCTTTCCGTCGTTTTGCAAAAACCTTTTATTTCCAAGAGAGACTTTTGACGCAAAGCTTATATCAAAAATGCAAACGAAGCAGAGATGTTAATAATTGGACAATAAATAACACAAAATACTGCCAAAATTCAAGTGGATAACAAAGAAGCACCTGAAATATAAAATAAAAATTTAATTGATTTGTTACTTTAAAAATGATTCTGATTTGAGAATACGGAAGTTATGAGAATATTTGCAGACAGGGTAAAAATTAATGATTTTAACACATCTTAAAATAAAATTTTCACCTGATTATTAAAATCAACGTAAATTAACTTTTTAAGCAAAAATTTGATGGAAAAGGAAAATTAACAAAATTTCACGGAAATATTAAGTGATATTTTCAATTCAGGACATAAAAACTGATAATCCAATGGCCCTTTTTTTAATCAATTTGAATTACAAATAACGATATGCAGAATTTATGCAAATCTGACCAGTCATTACAAATTATTGCTGGTATATTCAATATTTTGCAAATTTTTGAGCGCGTCAAATCGGGTACAGCGTAAATTACTTGTTTTATTTACTTAAATTTCAATGCCATTAATTTTTTTACAGCTCGGAATTTCAAATTTTCAGTTGATTAAATATGACTTTAAATTTGAAATTTATCCCTAAATATTTCATTTAAATAATATTCAATTCAAGAAAACATTTCCACAATCTCACGATTTTGAAAGATTTCAAATAAACATTAACTTGTTTACGTTTAATAGTTCTGACGAAACTTTTCTCCACGGAATTTGATTCAAATGAAAATAACAGATGCATATATTTATATATAAAAGCGTTTCCTTTTTGTTGTGATTACCTCTAAGCTTTTGAAAGGGACGTGTCGCCCGAGGGGCAGATGAAAAAATTACTTAACTATCAGCCGAATGTGTGTGCGGAGAGAATAGAAAACGAGATAAAAATGCGCGGGATTTTCTCGGAATCGGGCACTTGAGCCCGACACACACTCATTGTGCGCTGGATAAACAAACGCGCATCAAAAAACACACTCTCCGCTCTTTTATGACGGAGAGCACAGAGTGCTTCGTCAGGCCTACAAATTGATCCAGCACGCACTCGCCGCACACCACATCGGCTTTGGGCGCCGAGCATTGGACGGACAAAAAGAAAGAAACGAACGGAAACCAGGAAGTGGCAACAGGACGACGGCTTTTCCGGACGATTATTCATAGCCCAAGTCCCAAGGGATAATAATGATATCCAGCCTAGTTATAAAAGGATGTAGGTTTGCAGATTAATTTGCAAACGGTTTCAATTATTAAAAAATTAAAAATCTGGGGCTTTATAAATTTGAAAGATAGCAAATTCATACTTTTTCTTATAAAATTTTAGAATTGAAAATTATTTTTAGATCTAAATTGACAAGTTTTTTTAAAACCAGACTAGAAGAAAAATAGGGAAATTATGAGGAAAAAACTGCGTTTTATTTAACAAAATAGAAGTCAAAAGGTTTTTATTCATGACTTACTTTTATCTATTATATGATTTAATTGTTTCGTTTGAGAAGGTTTTCATTGTTTTCCTTACAAGATTATTTTGGAATCTTATCCTTGTTGACCTTTTTAATTTGCTTAGAAAATTTATTTAATTTAATTAAAGATCAAACTAAATTCAAACGCTTTTTCCCCTTATTTAATTTGCAACTTTTATGAAGGTGGACTAAGCAAATTTTGAGACCACGGTATAACTAAATACAGAACTAACCAAATACTTCCAAGAAAATTTCCATTGAAATCAGATTTTTGGACTTTTCGGAGGTTCAATGTTTGTCTTTAATTTACAAAATAATTCATCTTGACAAATATCACTTTAAAAAGCCATTTCATTTTTCTAAGAAGGTAAAAATAAAAAGATGCAAACGACTCGGAATATTAAACGAGCTGGCCAGCCCGCATTATCCACCTGACAAAATATTTACCAGCTTCTCGTCTCGACGAAAAGAATGGTCGGCGCGTATATTCAGGGGCGTGTGCGTTTAACTTGCCATTAGCACCCGCTGCTGCGAAGAGGGTATAATTATCACCCACCGACGCAGCACACGGGCTACTGGAAAAAAACTCAAAGATAAGAAAGGAAGCGATTCTCCATTTTTTTTTCTCTCTAGTAATATAACAAAGTACAAAAGATAGGGAAACTTTTGGGAAAAAAATTCCTCTGTTGTAACAACACCCGCGCGTGCTTTATTGGTGTGAGGGATGGTGCAATTAAAGAACCAACTTTATGGCCCAATCTTTTCGTTAAAACATTTTCCTGGCTGCGGGCAGTAACCTTGAAATAAAAGTTATTCGATGGGGATGAAGTGGAAACTTGTGTTTCAGGTCAAAGGGAGACAAAAAAATCATTTTTTTTTCATCCTGAGGGGGTCGCAAAAAGTTGCGCAAAAGTGGAATGATTTTTTGATATTTATTGCACGCGATGTCGAGATACGATCTGGGCAGGCCGGCGGCGAATTTCTGCGCAACAGTATCGACTTTTGATTCGCGAATAATTCGGGAATTCACACACACAGCGGCGAGGCGGATGAGAGCAGCGGTTGCGTGCCGAACGAGTGCCTGTCGTGGATTAAGTTGGAGCTGCTTTTCACTCGAAATACACAAGACGCGCGCGTTCCTTTTATTTATGCCAAACGGCGAGAGCAACTTTTTAATTCGCAAGAGAGCAAAACTCTGCGTTTGCAATTCAAGGAGAGCAAAAGAAAGAGAGGAGGCGGAGCATTTCGTCAAGTTTCCTTCCATTTAAGTTTTCCGAACTGTAACAAAACTTTGCGACG